CTAGGGCTTACTCCAAATAATGCTGCTACTTGGTCTTATAAAACACAAGCTTGAAGTTGCACTATGGCACAAGTCCGATCCAGATCAGTCAAATGGGGCATGCTTGGAGCAGACCAACTGACTGCTCTAGCAGGGTCCATGCTCACATGCTGGGGTGCCAGCAGCTCAAAACAAGAGTCAATAGCAGAACAAGCTGTTTGACATAAGAAGAAAAGATCTGACAAGGTTTTCATGGGTTCAGTCCACATACTCAACCCTGCTGCTCAACCTGTAAATGCATTTTCCTTACAAATGTGTTATTATTTTAGGGGAAGAAAAGAAACAAAGAAATTGCCAAGAAAGAAAAAGCTGACCAAGTGCAAATTTCCTTACTTTTTGTGCAGATTTAGGGTTGGGTTAGCCTGTCAGTGCATAGGTATGTTGCTATCCCCTCATATACGTCATTAAATCAATGGTCTTTTTTCTCTCAGCACAGTTCAGTGTTAAGGTTGCCTAGAGTTTTTAATAGTGTGGCCTTAACAGCGTTGACAAATTTTGCTCAATAACAATTAATCAAAAATTACAGTGTTTAAGGAATTCACGTGTCATGTCAAAGTCCTTCGAGCAAGTCTCACCAAGTCTCACTCAGCATCCATCTATCGCAGGAACTTATTTGGGTATTTATTTCATGACATAATTAAAAATAAGTTTAATTTGATTGGCCACTACAGGAAACAAACACTCCCCCATCAATATCTATAAAAAATTATACATAGCTGTTAAATGTGCTGGCTTTCCCCTCAATATAAGGTTTTAAAAGTGTCCCCTGGAAGTTACACCTGTGCCATCATCTTTGCTGTTGCAGACTTCATCTATAGATTGGTCACAATCGTACCTAAAATAGAGCCCCATTTGTATTTTACGATTATTTATTTTAACTACTTTTCATGTTGTGCAAAAATGCATTGTAAAATAAATATGTAGAAAAGTCCATAAATGTTTTAACTAGTACTGCACCTTAATCAAAACAAAAAATTTGCATGCTAGTTTATTTTCACGTCATGCCAAACGTTTGGCACACTCCAAACAGGATTACGCAACTTTGGGTTTTTTTTAAGCCACACATCAAAAAGAATGACTGACATCCTCTGCATGAACACATTCAAGAGAAAAAACACTCTAAAAGGCTGCTGTGGAAATTTACAAGCTGATGTTCCTTAAAGAGTGGAACATATTTCTCCTGGAAGAGCTTTTTTTTCTGAAAATGATCAGCTAAATAAAATGCTCTTTGGCTCAGCAGCTAACTTGATTTTATTGCATCATATGATACTGGTACTAAGAAAAACAGACCATAACTGCATAAATGTTTGTTATACAACAATGTTAGTGTTAGAGATGCACAAATCTTATAGTCTATTATAAATTTCATGTATAGAAACATGGAGTACAAGAATATAAATTAGTGCTTACGGCCTAGTGTACATTTATGTATTAATACTCATTTGTTTACATATAATATTTTTTTTATTCTTATATTTCTAAGCTTTTTGAATATTATTTGTTTCCACATACTGTATGGCACAGGTACACATTTTCCGAGTAAATATGTGCACTGCTGAGGACACATGCCATCTTCACATAGCAAGAAATCAAAAAGAAACTTAAAACCAGCACAGGTGTAGGACCACATATTTTGTGGGCAACAAAGGAGCTTTAACCCTGCTTTACCAGCCAACCTGTGCCCACTTCCTCAAAAGTCCCGTGTAGTTCTTCCTGTACAGCCACACACACTGATCACCATAATTTCTGCATTTTCAAGCAGGTTAATTATCTCTTTGTTGTGATTTATTTTTTAATATTTACGCCTGTGAAACC